CAGCGATCACTGAACATACTCAGTGAAGATCACTGGAACTGAAAAGACAGAAACATAAATACAACGTGTAAGTGAAAAGGGATTATCATCAAATCACTGAGAGAGAGGATCAACAATAACAAATTCTACTAATTTCAAAATGAGTCAAAAAGGCATTTGACCATACAAGAATATTGGCCGCTTCCTATAAATTTTATATTTTCAAACACGATTTATTGAACGAGTTACGAATAGAAAGGGAGTTTAAAACGATGTGAGTTATAATAAAACCATTAACATAACCAGGGGAATGAACTCTCTCAAAATATTTAAAACCAAAACATACGGCGAATCAAATCCAAACGTAGACTAGGAATTTCACACTCACAATTTTTTGAAATCGAGTCACACTAGTTTCAACACTTAACATATTTACAAATCTAACATTTTATCACATTTACAGTAAGTTTTGGAAAACTATATCTAAACAGAAGTTTTAGATAAATGTCTTATGATTTTGAAGAATCAACAATGAACTGAATCGGATTTAAAATAGATTTTACACGAATTTTTGAAAACAGTTGCACGATTCTCGTCTAAAACGAGATCAATTTCGGAAAACCCAGATTTTAGACACATTAGCCCAAAAATCACGGTCTGCTTGTGTGACAATAAGTCGTAGTAGACATATCCATGTTTTAAAAAATGTATCTGTTGATCATCTCTCTCAGTGATTTGATGATAATCTCTTTTTCCTTTCGATGTATTTTAGTTTCTGTATTTTCAGTTCCAACGATCTTTACACTGAGTATGTTCAGTGATCGTTGAAGAACTCGCTTTGTAATTCATTCAGAGACAACAATACTTCAAGAAAACAACACTCACACCAAAGATTCTTCAGCAAACGTTGAAGACTGAAACTGAAAATTAGAGACTGGCGCGTACGTGATCTGAAGCGGTATTCAGTGATTACAAGCCTGTCTAGTTATGTGTGAAGACTGCTCTAGCTTCAGCGAATGATGATGAGACCTTCAGGTCATTCCAGCATTCAACGATCAAAGGAAGCTTGCTTAGCACGATTG